TACTATTAGCTCCTAGCCTTACTACTAGTAGCAAGGACGCTACTATTAGCTCCTGGCCTTACTACTAGTAGCACGGACACTACTATTAGCTCCTAGCCTTACTACTAGTAGCACGGACGCTACTATTTGCTCCTAGCCTTACTACTAGTAGCACGGACGCTACTAGGGGATCCTGGCATCGCTACTAGGAACAAGGACGCTACTAGTAGCCGGTCGAGTCATCTGCCAAGAATGACTTGAGGTCAAGTCCAGCAGCTCTGGTCATTTGCGGCCAGGTCGAGCCAGCCTCAGCCTCGACGCACAAAAATGTATGAAGGACAATAAAAAACCATTGCTCTTAGGTTGGAGGGCATCGCTTCTAGGTTGGAGGCCATCCGAGGCCATCGCTACTAAGATGGAGGCCATCGCGCATGTAGCACAAGCTGTAGCACAAGCTGTAGCAAAAGGTTAGACATCCCAACACTGAAACCAAATGTTCACAGGGGCAGGTCTGCTGAGTGACATGGAGTACAATGAAACAGCCAAAGAAGCCGACTGATCGAGTGTAAGGAGATTGCAAGCCGATCACCAAGGAGGTCTCACGAACTATGTTACTAGTAGCCTCTTGTCACTAGTAGTAAGGCACCTTGCTACTAGTAGCTTCTTGCTACTTGTAGTAATGCCCTTGTTACTAGTGGCAATGCCCTTGTTACTAGTAGTGATGCCCTTGTTACTAGTAGCTTCTTGCTACTTGTAGTAATGCCCTTGTTACTAGTAGCGATGCCCTTGCTACTTGTGCGCATACTAGTAGCTTCTAGCTACTTGTAGTAATGCATGTTACTAGTGGCAATGCCCTTGTTACTAGTAGTGATGCCCTTGTTACTAGTAGCTTCTTGCTACTTGTAGTAATGCCCTTGTTACTAGTGGCAAAGCCCTTGTTACTAGTAGTGATGCCCTTGTTACTAGTAGCTTCTTGCTACTTGTAGTAATGCCCTTGTTACTAGTGGCAATGCCCTTGTTGCTAGTAGTGATGCCCTTGTTGCTAGTAGCTTCTAGCTACTAGTAGTAGTGCCCTTGTTACTAGTGGCAACGCCCTTGTTACTAGTAGTGATGCCCTTGTTACTAGTAGCTTCTTGCTACTTGTAGTAATGCCCTTGTTACTAGTGGCAATGCCCTTGTTACTAGTAGCGATGCCCTTGTTACTAGTAGCTTCTTGCTACTTGTAGTAATGCCCTTGTGACTAGTGGCAATGTCCTTGTTACTAGTAGTGATGCCCTTGTTACTAGTAGCTTCTTGCTACTTGTAGTAATGCCCTTGTTACTAGTGGCAATGCCCTTGTTACTAGTAGTGATGCCCTTGTTACTAGTAGCTTCTTGCTACTTGTAGTACACTATTTTGAGAGTACATGGCGCGCAGGGTTCTATTTAATAGATGGCTCCCGGGACCCCTGTACATAAAATACACGGGGTAAAGAAGATGGCGCAACAGCTAGTTGTGTGCGCTAGAAAACGAAAGAACAACAGAGAGCAGCCAAAATGACGCGCCATCTACTACTTCAGGGTTTCTACTGTGTGTTGGCACCAATCTCTCCCCAGTCCCTCCCGCCCTCCGGCGCTGTCGCCCACTTCCCACCATTTCTTCC